TGTGTCGTGTCGTACGTGTCGTACGTCGTATGTGTGTGTGTGTGTGTGTGTGTGTGTGTGTGTGTGTGTGTGTGTGTGTGTGTGTGTGTGTGTGTGTGTGTGGTTGTTCTAATGAAGGTGAACACAGTGAAGTAAACAGTAAAGGCACAGTTCTTTGCAGCTGGTGCTGCTCTTCTCAGATTCTGCTGAGTTACACGTTACTGGCTCCTGGTGCCGCAGAGATTTCATGAAGTGAAGGAGGTTTTCCTTCTATGAAACAGCTGTGGGCAACAGATACTGTGAGTCACAGACATGAATACATAGGTCAAGGCAGCCTGGTTCTCATACTCTCCTGTTTTGCCGATCCGGTGCTTGAACAAATAACTCTACACCCCTGGCCGAAATGTCCCTAAAATGAAGTCCGAATTTTAAATATATCTCAAATAATGTATGTATTTCCCCACATAAACATAACAGTCTGCAATTAAACGGCTGTCTCCTGTGCGCTCCACTTCCTACTTTCTCCTGCGAACGAGATACTTTCTCCCTCTTTTCTTTCTTTCATTGCCCTCTAGGGGCTTCGTACAGTACAAAAACAAATGCAAATATTTTATTTTAAAAAGTAAAGTCCTTTCGAGTCATCCGTCTCAAGCCTAAGTCAAGTCTCAAGCCATGAATACCAAGTCAAAGTCAAGTCGAGTCTTTTATCAATGTTAGTCAAGCAAGTCTCAAGTCAAAAAGGATGTGACTCAAGTCATGTGACTCGAGTCAAGTCCTGTGACTCGAGTCCCCCACCTCTGGTATATACTGTGGTTAGAATAATGCTTTATTACTGTATCAAATATAATAAACACAAACGGTTGATAAGTAGTATTTTGTTAACTCAAGGTTTATATTAAGTGAGTTTTTATTGTGTTAACTTGTGTATTTATGCTTTTTAGATTGACTTTCTCTCTTTCTCTGTCCGTCTGTTCTAGAAACCGAAAGGAAAAGAGACGTCACAGCTGTCAGCAATGTGACAAATCCTTTACAACATCTGGAACTTTAAAGAGCCACCTACATATTCACACAGGAGAAAAACCGTTCAGCTGTGAAGAGTGTGGGAAAACTTTCACTCGATCAGGTCATCTCCAATCACATCAACGTATTCACACGGGAGAAAAACCATTCAGCTGTGATGAGTGTGGGAAAACTTTCACTACATCAAGTCATCTCAAATCACATCAACGTATTCACACAGGACAAAAACCGTACAGCTGTGAAGAGTGTGGGACAACTTTCGCTCAATCAGGTTCTCTCAAATCACATCAACTTATTCATACAGGAGAAAAACCGTACAGCTGTGAAGAGTGTGGGACAACTTTCACTAGATCAAATGCTCTCAAAACACATATACGTATTCACGCTGGAGAAAAACCGCACAGCTGTGAAGAATGTGGTACAACTTTCACTACATCAAGTGATCTCAAAATACATCAACGTATTCACACAGGAGAAAAACCGTACAGCTGTGAAGAGTGTGGGAAAACTTTCACTACATCAGGTAATCTCAAATCACATCACCGTATTCACACAGGAGAAAAACCGTACTGGTGTGAAGAGTGTGGCAAAACGTTCACTAGATCAGATGCTCTCAAATCACATCTTCATGTTCACTCAGGAGAAAAACCATAGTGGTGTGAAGAGTGTGGGAAAACCTTTTCTCAAAGTATTCACCTTTAAACTCCACGAGCGAATCCACACTTCATCGTTTTGAACAACTATGAGAGCCAAGCCAGCTGTTTCCTCCTCCTGATGTCCTAAGAGCTGTCGTTATATTTTAAGAGTCTTTCTGAATTGAAGTCTGACTAACAATTGTTTATGTTCTAACCAGCGTTCACACTATGCCAACACAAAGCCACAGTGATGCTGCTTCTCCTGATTTAATTCATGTTTGTAATGGTTCCTGATTTATAAAGAAATGTTATACTACTATACTTTGTTATTCCTTTTTTTAAATATTATATCTCAATTGCTAGCCTCGATAAATGACTGCAGGATCTGGGGTATTTGAAATGTACAAAGTCATATCTCCACAATGCACTGGGACTGGAAGCTCACACTTGAACCGTGTAGTGACCACGAAATCCATTTGTTTTGTGTCCTTAAAATATAGAAATGTCCAGATGCGATTGAAAAGTAAGAGTTTATTCCAAAAAAGGTAAAAATAAATTAATGTTTTTAAACAAACTATTTGTCATAAACTGATACTTCAATGTTAAAGGCAGAAGAACCAATCTGTGACGCTCCCCACCAGCAAGGTCTAAGAACTGTTTGCTTCAGTCAGCCGCACCAGTAGGCTGCAGCACCTCTCCTTTTATGCTGCAGCACCTCCACCTGCAGAGTAATCTAAGGAAANCCTTCCCGCGTCCATTCGCGATGTCTCGCTGTAAGCAGGAAACCACACCAGTAAGCCAGCTCACACTGTCAGCTCCTTACAGCAGGGAGCTGACCAATCAGAGCACACTGGGCTCACAGGGAGGGGGGGCAGGAGCTCGAACAAGGGGTTTAGGACAGAGAGGGAAATTCAGTGAATACACATACTATACAGAGAAGCTGTATGAGAAACCAATGTGAGTTTGGAACATTGCACAATATAAAACTATTCTAGTAGAACTCAACAATGGAATTATGATCAGTAGAAATGGCCATGACATGGGACCTTTAAGCCGATGAAAGTGGAAAACTACGGAGCCCCCTAGGGGACATAGAGAACGAAAAAAATATGTGTTGAAAAATATATATATATATGTTTTGCGAGATCTAGCAAAAACCTTTTGCGAGATATCGCAACACTTTTCAATTAGCTCAATGTACTTCTGTCAGTTTGGCAACACAGAAACCACAACAATGGAGCGGTTCATCGATTTTACTTTGAGCTTGGCCTTAAATATAAAGATATAACATTAGTGCTTGGCAATAGGCACGGGTTTCACACATAGACTCTGTATATAAAGGGTTTCACATAAGTGAAGACACCTCAAGAGAACACTCAGAGCGACGTCCCTCTGAGCTGAGTTATTAACAGATTCGAATTTCGCGGATCAATAACTCATGAACATAACGTTGTAAAAATACAAACAACATGACTTTACAATCATAGCAAGGTAGACAACGAGCTACAGACTCGTTTTTATCAGAACAGTTCGATACGCGCCGTCATCCGAGCTACACATCAAGATTTGGTCACAATCTGCAGCTGGAGGAGGGAGAGGATAGGGACCGTCTACAAACTGCAACGGGGTTTTGCGAGATCTCGCAAAAGTATTGCGAGATATCGCAAAGGTTTTGCGATATTTATTTTTTTGTTCAAAAATTGTTTTTTTCTTCTCCATGACAGCCATGGCCATGCATTAAACAAATCTTGTTTTTCTATAGCTCTTGTGTTATTATTTGATCGCACTGTACCCGTTAAACATTACATACATCATGGCGGTGGTATTGACACGGATAAGATGCTAAAAAACATGAAGGAAAAAAAGGAAATAATGCCTTTAATGTCACATGTTAACAGAGATCCCAAATGTCATACTTCAATACAATTACGTTTAGTAATTCACCTTTAATGGTCGTTTTACAACTTACAATGTAAACAAAAATAAATAAGCAAGTAAACCTTATTATTAGATCCAGTTCCTCAACTTAGGCCTACTCACCTATTTATTCACCTCATGTCTGATCACTCTACAGAGAAAAGGTGAACGTCTGGTTCGAAGTATGTGTGGAGAAATTGAGTGAATATGTTCTGATAATGTTCATCCCTCCTGTAGAGTTCAGAAAGTGTTACAGTCTATGCAAAGGAGCATGAAGCTGTTCTTGTGGCTCCGTGGTGGACCAGCACGTTGCTTAGACAATATTTTAGTTCCTACTTTGATTTGTTACCCATCTGTGTGACACATTCACTCAAGACACAGTCCTTTTAAAATAGTTAGTGTCCGATATGACCAGGTAAACAATATTTAAAGAAGATATGTCACGGCGTCTTTTTATAGAGATACGGGTTGCTTCAAATAGCAAATTTGCTTTCTTTCCAACCCCTCTGAACTGAGATAAGAAATTTAAATAATGTGATTGCTGAATTAAGGATTCATTACTTCTCCCTTATATCTTAGTCATGCAGTAATCTTCATGTTGGGGCTCTTTTTAGTGTTTTTTATTTTTCTGTATATTCTTGAATTCTCTTTTCTCTCCTCCCCTTGCTGTCTGCTCTCCTTTAATTTAGAAAAGATGTCTGAAAAGTGAGTGGGTTGCTGGTGTTAATACTAAAGGAGGAAAATACATCAAACTGTTTATTAAAACTCCCATGAAAGAGTGTAAAATGAGCCTCAGTAGTGAATAAAAAATGGGGTGATATGTTTAATTCAGCAGGGGGGGGAAGACGGAGGGATGAGCCGCAGTCATTTTCGAGATGCGCATTTGAAAAACGATTGGCTCTTTTATTGGCTGAAATAAAAAATCCACTTTTTCTCCAAATATAGTAATGTTATCTCTTCTGAATGGTTGTCTTTAACTACTCTGTGGAACGGACCAAAATTCAAAATGGAAAGAAGCGGTAGGACGCATTTCTAATGAAGGTTCTCCACTGATGCGTTAGATATCTTCATGAATCAAAGCTTGAATTTAAACAGCAGAAACTGAAAGCGTGTGAAATTAAAATGTCCAGGGAAGAAAATAGGCGTGATGGCGTGCACACATGATGATGAGCTGTAATATACTGGAGAGCGAAGAGTCTGGCCTGCCTCTGGTTGTTCAGGGACTGGGACGGTTTAATTGAGGTTGTATTAGGGACCTCTAGGGAGGAATTTAACTTGTCAGGCTAATCATTATAATGCTGGCCTTGGGTCAACGCCCATTTTCGTCCATCCCATCAGAGACAGGGTCGCTCTAGTCAGCAGAGGACTCGCTGCAGTCAGAAAGCAGGCCACAGAGAGAGGCCAATGGTTCTGTTGATTCACTTTTAATTAACTATCCTCTGCTGCTTTGCCATAGTGTACCAACAATATTGCTTTGGGTCATGGGAGAAATCAGTCAGAGGGTCATTGAAAGTGCTATAAAAGTTTTAAAAATGTAATATCCCAAATAAAACGTCTTTGTATGAGTTCCTGTTAAGGGAACTACATTGTATCATTGTAATTCAACACAAATGTTGTCCTTTCTGTTTCAGTTTGGTTCTATTGCAAAGTAAATCAGGCTTTTCTTTTGAAGTATGCTCATGTCCCAAGGGCGTGAATAACTTAATTTTGCTTCTTTGCCTCAAACATGCATACCGTATTTGGAGGAAGTGAAAGCAGTGAATCAGCTTGTTTGCATTTAAATGTGTCTCTTCCACAGCATGTATTCAAAAAGAATCTTGCAAGCCTATAAAGTAATTCCATGAGGGTGTAAACTGTAGCATATGCATATGCAGTGTTACAATGTTGGACTCTTGGAATACATATTTATGATAAATAGTAAAGCAGGTACTTGCATGCAGTGACACAGTGACTCACAAAAAAACACCACTTCTTAATAATATATAACAGCACAACCGTTTTTAGCCTTCACTTCTCCCTCAATTTAAAAATAAACACGCTACACTGTCCCTGTCTGTCACATTTAATTCAGAAGTCATGACCCTGATTAGCGAGTGTAGTATAAATAAGGAATCTGGAATATGTTTATGATGAGAGTGACAGCGGGGATTCAGTCAGCAAATCCCGTTTACATTGCAGTAGAGGGGGATGGGATTTGCCACCCACTGACACATTTTGATGGAAGCTGAAAAGCATGAAATTGAAAATAAACCATTGGATATATTGATCTATTTCCATCCTGGAAAAGAAAATTCTGTTAAAAATGGAGGCAAAATTCAAGTTAACTGTATTCAGAGTATTTGCATATTAGCGTATTGAGTGTTACAAATAGTTTTGCTTTCCAGAAATAATAACCCAAATTGTTGTTTGACCTTAGTCTAATCTTTTGATAACACCACCACCTAATAACTATAATGTAGAACAGGAGGACTATACTGTAACCTCACAAGCACTGATGTTGTTATTTAAAATAAACTACTCCCGCAACAGAATGCATAATTGTGTACAAATTGCCTGTATTCACATCCCCCAACAACAATCTGTGATGTGAACAGTTCAGATATAAACACACATTTTATCAAAATCAAACCAGAGTTGAATCAAAAAAAGTAGACAACTTTAAAATATACGGTTAAGAATGAATTATTGCTGATGCCAGAGGGAGGGAATCTGGAAATAAAAAGAAAGAGCCAAGCCAAGGGCATCTCTTTTCAATCTAGATGACTGTCCCTGATCCCCGTAATTATGTGTGCATCCCACCATATCACTGAGATCTTAAACTGGGGGCAAATTAAACAGCCCTTTTATTGCTGTTGTGGCCCTCTGTATCGCTGGACTGGGTTAGTCCATTACCTCCTTTTAGCACGGTGTGCAGCTTTACGGAGGTGAACTGAGAGATGCACAATGAGGTCATGATAGATAGACTGTACAGCAGTTTAGTTGTGGGGAAGTGGAAGTTCAGGAAGCAGGTGCGGGTTGGCTGAGGGCCAATCCTTCAATTGAACTGTCCTCATACCTGCTAAAGCAACCTCGAGCAAGATGTTAAATCCATAAAAAAGTCAAAAGACATGATCGGGGTTTTCCTCCCACTATTATTTATAATGTGGTCCATTGGCTTTCATATATCCACATACTATTCCTATATAAAGTACTGCTTGGGTTAAAGAGAAAAACCAAATCCTGTGTTATGAAA